TTTTTTGCCAGGTGAAGCAAAACACTGCAGTTTTTAAGTGAATTACAATCCAGTTCCCTCATTAACTTTGCTTGTCAGCATGTCACACAATCCCGGGATGCGCAACCATAGAAAAAACACAATGGTTGCCAAACGTCTGAATTTGGATCACATGACTGTGAGGATGTTGTAACAGTTGTAAATGCAAGGACCAGCCAGCCATAAGTCACTTTTTTCAGTGCCCTTGTAATTTTGAACATTGGCTAAAGAAATGGTGGTTAAATTGAGGACTCTCAGTATCACTTTTAAGAAAGTCTGAAGACTAGATTACAGATTAACAGAGTTGGAAGGGACCTTGTAGGTCATCTAGTCCAACCCCCCACCCAAGCAGAAGACCCTAAGCCATTTCTGACAGATGGCAGTCTAGTCTCTTCTTGAAAGCTTCCAGTGATGAAGCTGTAGCAATTTCTGAAGGCTGATTGGTTGATTGTTTTCACTGTCAGAAAATTTCTCCTTATTATTTGGAGCTGAAAAAAGCATGTGTATTCCTACATTTAAAAAGAAGGGTTGGACCCAGATCCAAGAACCTAGGGTCATCTGGAGGTGAGAATCAAGATGGCGGTTGTGACTGTGCACAGGTAAAGAAGCCTTGGGGCTTAAATCTTGCAGTTGCCCAGCTGCCATATTTTTTGTATAATTTTATTATGTATTTTTAAAATTAAAAAAAAAAACAGTCAAGAAAGAGGAAAGAATATAGAAAGAAATAGCAGATAGAAGAACAAAAAACCAAAAAATATGAAATTGAAAATACACAAAAACAGAACGACTTCAACTTCTTTTACAGCCCACATAAATAAAACTTCAGTTTCAACTGTTGCTCTACAATTGCAATCCCATTTTTTGATAATCTAAAAATATTACTAATATTCAAGCCCATGTGTCATTTTTTTCTCTTTTGTGCAAAAAGCTGCCATCTTGACTTTTTGGGCCCTACCCTGGACATGCCTGCAAGAAACTGCAGAATATACAATGTGGCATTAATATTTGTGATCAAACGAAGCGAGGGATAAATAGTCTGATCTATCACCTCTTTGAAAAAAAAGTGATCTTTAGCCCAAGTCCACATGGATTTGATGAAAACAAACACCCCCAGGCTTACATGATTTTATTTTAGAATTTTCTGACTTCCTCAATGGATTTTCAGTGATGAGACTATTCCATTCTGCTTCCATCATAAAAAAAATTCAGTGGAAGGGACCAAAAATCAGGGGTTTGCAGGGGTGGCCCCATTGATTCAGGCTCCATGAAAATCCATCCCAGCATTAACTAGTTAAAAGTATTATTCTGAACTGCTCAGCATAGCTTTTAAGGTTTGCAGTCCTCTCAATCTGAAGATGCCTGCCTTAGAATCATTATGGTCATTTTAATATACATGCTGTATAATTCTATTAAGTATTTTAATATGCGTTTTTATGTGGTGAGTCTTCTGGGAGTGTGGCTGTATAAATAAAACAAACAAACCAATAATGATATCTTGATTTCAGCAAAGCTTTCGACAAAATCTCCCACGACACTCTGATTAGAAGCAAGCTAATTATACGAGTCTGGATGGCATGACAATTAAGTGGATACATAGCTGGCCTGGAAATTGTATTCAAAGAATGCTCCTTGATTGTTACACATCAAATTGTGATGACTATCAAGTGTGGTGTCACAAGAGTTTAGTCTGAACTCTTCAATATTTATATTAATGATTTGGATGAAGAGGTGTAGGGGAATGGTTATTAGATTTATAGAAGACAGAAAATTAGACGGGGTAGTTAACACCTTAGAATGCAGAAATAAAATTCAAAATGAGAAGGATGGGTTAATGAAATGGGCTGAATACAACAGGAGGAAATATAACAGTCGAAAGTAAAGCTCATCACTTAGGAAACAGAAGTCAAATGCAGAGATTTAGAATGGGGAAAGCTTTCTTGGTAATACAAAAAAAAAGATATTGGAATAGTAGTTGATTACAAACTGAATATCAGCCAGCTTTGTGATGTGGAGGCAAAAAAAAAGCAAATGGAGTTTTGGACGGCTTCACAGCCATATAATTTCCAAATAATGGGAAATAATTGATCCACACCACAGTCTGCTTTGGTGAGACTCTTATTTTGAATATTGCATCCAGTTCCAAGCACCACACTTGAAGAAGGATTCAGAGAAATTCAAGAAGATTTGGAGAAAGACAGACTATCAAAAACCAAACTAACGGGTGTCTGAGTGTGTGTATGTCTGTGTGTGTGTGTTGGAATTTAGAATGTTTAAAAAGAGAAGAGAAGATGTGGGAGAAACAGGAAATATGATTGCAGTTCCAAAAGACATTCTGAATCATTCCAGAATGCAGAACATGGAAAAAAGGAATTATAATAATGAATTATAGATAGGCAAACAGGGGTGCAATGGCTCAGCAGTTAAAACAATGCTGAGCGTGTCAGCTGGAAAGCTGATTGCCCTGGTTCAATATCCAAGCACCGCAAAAAGGGGTGAGCCCCTGTTACTTGCCCCAGCTCCTGCCCACCTAGCAATTTGAAAGCATGCAAACACAAGTAGATGAATAGGGATCACTTTAATGGGATAGACACCTAACATAAAAAAGTCATCAAAAAAGCACAACAACAAAATGTTCTTTCTGGGCCAACCCAGAAAGCTCAAACTGCCCAAGGAGCTGCTGATACAGTTCTACAGAGGAATTATTGAGTCTATCATCTACACCTCTATAACTGTCTGGTTTGGTTCTGCAACCCAACAAGACAGACGCAGACTTCAGAGAGTAATTAGGACTGCAGGAAAAATTTTTTACTACCAACCTGCCTTCAATAGAGGACCTGTATACTGCACCAGTCAAAAAGAGGGCTGTGAAAATATTTACAGACCCCTCACATCCCGAACATAAATTGTTTCAACTCCTTCCCTCAAAACAATGCTGCACACCAGAACAACTAGACAAAAGGACAGTTTTTCCCCGAACGCCATCACTCTGCTAAACAAATAATTCCCTCAACACTGTCCAACTACTATATTTACAAAGTCTGCACTACTGTTACTATTAATCTTCTCATCACTTCTTATCGCCCATGCCCTCCCACTTGTGACTGTATGACTGTAACTTTGTCACTTGTATTCTTACGATTTATATTGACTGTTTCCTAGTATGATTTGATTGCTTATTTGTACCCTATGGCTATTATTAAGTGTTGTACCTGATGATTCTTGACTCTTGATGAATGTATGTTTTCTTTTATGTACACTGAGAGCATTTGCACCAAGACAAACTCTTCGTGTGTCCAATCACACTTGGCCAATAAAGAATTCTAATTCTATTTTAACAGCATTCCATGTGCCTCGAGCATATAGTCATGACCCCAGAAAGGGTCTTTGGATAAGGCTGGCTCCTTTGGCTAAGAAAAAGAGATGAGCATTGCCCCCTGGAGTCAGCTATGACTGGACAGGGGAAATCTTTACCGTTGCCTTTTAGATAGCCAAGACAAATCGGTGAAGGTCAAGAGACAAATTGCTTATCTGCGCAGTTTAAGAAAGCAACCAATTTTCCACTGAAATGGTGTCACCCTCCCATTCACAGGATGTGTTTAGGCACTGTTTGGTTAGCCATTTTTCAGGGCTGTTTCATTTTGAGTTCTGCACAGAGCAGAGTAGTAAATGGTAACTTTGTCCATTTCTATGCTTGTAGGATCATCTGGCTGACTCACAGTTGAAGCAGCCTTTGGCAAATGTTCTAGATAACAAGAGGCTCCAACATGTAATCGTGGTGCTACATAAGTCCCTCAAGTTTTGTTACAATGGTAGTTTCCCCCAAAAAAATACCTAACAGCATGTATGTTGGGATGTATTATTAATTAGGGCTAGTTAACCATTTCCAGTCTGTCAATAATGCCATGGTTCTTAGTTAGCATGCAAAAAAATCCCCCTTTTTTACTCCCAGTATGAGGTGGGTATTGTAGGATTGGAATTTTGTCAATGCTGATAGTGTTCAAAAGGTGCTCCAGATGTTTTGGATTGTACCCAAGGCACCCTTTATATTAGCAATAGCACTTAGACTTATATGCCGCTTCACAGTGCTTTAGAGCACTCTCTATGTGGTTTACAGAGTCAGCCTATTGCACCCAACAATCTGGCTCCTCACTTTACCAACCTCAGAAGGATGGAAAGACTGAGTTAACCTTGAGCCGTTGACAATCGAACTGCCGAACCGTAGTCAGCAATCAGCAGAAGTAGCCTGCAGTACTGTACTCTAACCACTGTGCCCCCACAGCTCTCTTGATACTATCTTTGTTTTCTTTTGCCATAGTCATTCCACTTCTATTTGCAAGTCTTTGCATTTTGCTATTATTACTATTATCATCATTTATAGTTTATACTTCTTAATGCTTTCCATAATAATGGCTATAATAATATTTGTGAATTATTGTTTTCTAACTTTGTTGCTGAACTTGTTTGTGAGGTGGGCAGCCATATAAATTTGAAAAGTAAACAAATAAGTAAATAAATAAATGATCAAAAGAAGTCAAGATGGCAACCATGGCATGGTGTGGATCTAAGTCAGGGGTGTCAAACTCAAGGCCCGGGGGCCAGATCTGGTCCGCTGGGTGCTTAGATCAGGCCCATGGGATTGACCTGGAAACAGTGAAAGACAGGCCCACAGTGCCTCTGCCAGCAAAAACAGAGCTCAGGAGCACTGCACACAACCCTCCCAAGCTCCATTTTCACTGGCAGAGCACTGGAGGAGGCCATCACAGCCAAAAATGAAGCCTGGGAGGGGTGCCCCTGACACAAGTGATGTCAAAGTGGCCACACCCACCCTGGGCATGCCCACCCAGCCGCCTAAGGTCAAACACAACCCTGATGTAGCCCTCAATGAAAACTATCTGAGGAACCATCTGGGATCGGTCCGCCCCGCCCACACCAGCAGAAGGTCCTTGTGATAAAAATCAAACCATTCAGGTATTCAGACAACTGAAAATTGGAGACACATGAACAATATATAAGAGCTTTATTTTGAAGCTTTTGCAAAATGGAATTCTGCCCTTGTGCAGAAGACCTGGTTCCCAGGAAGGCTGGGGTTTATATACAGGTCCAAATATACAGTCTCTGCCCCTTTCCTAGGTTAATCCTTACATAATATTCCAGTAAATTATTTTAGGTTAACACAGAGGTTAAAAATGGCGTTACCACTGCTTTATATTTTCACAGGTATAATTTTACATATCATAGTCATGCTGCGGACCCTGTTGGTCAAAGAATTCTGGCCAGCAGGGTCCAAACAAGACCCTTTTCTGCTGTGGCTCCCATAGTCTGGAACATTTTGCCCCCCCAAGGTGAGATTGACACCCACTCTTTTGGCCTTTCAAAAGATCCCAAAGACATGACTCTGCCAACTGAACTGGGGCCCCGATGGGTGTGTTGTCAGGCATGAAGAATCAGGACCAAACTTTAAGTTCCAGTAAAGTTGATTCATTGCTTATGCCTATGTATGAAAATCTAGTCAACTAATGTTCTAAATAAAAGTCAGGAAGGGCTGGTCCTTGGATTCCAGGCTGATTATGTTCTCTTGACTCTGTCTCCAGGCTTTGCCCGTCCTTCACCTACAAGTGTGTCATTCTGGCAGTGGTTAATGAACTAAGATAAGACCCAACCTCCCCACCCCATGCATCTTGTTCTGTTCCTCCCCATCTTTGTCAATTTTAAATCAGATTTAATATTATTGTTGTTTTAATGTTTCACACTGGAGTTTTAATGATTGCAAACCACCCAGGAGTCACCTTTAGGTGAGAAGGGCAGCATATCAGCTTAATACATAAATAAACTACAATGATAGAATCAAAACTCTGCCTGGGTTGGCTGGTTGGTTGCTTGGTTTTGCAATGTATGATGGACATTTTAAAAAAGAAAGAAACAGAGTTTTGATTGTACTGTGGTGGCTGCCATCTTGATTTTTTTGAGCACACTATGCAGATACTTCTTGTTTTAAGCATATCCTACAGTGGGGGGGAGGGGAGAACTTTAATCCACACAATTCATTCCTACCATCTCACCCCACCCAATTCATTAATGTATTTGGAATGGGAGAGAAAGTAGAAAGCAGCATGCTGTGTTCTGAAGCCATTCCAGTGGTGTGCGTGTGTATGTGTGCACATGCACACACTGAGAGTGAAAGACAGGAGGCTGGAGGAAAAAGAGGTACTCTCCCAGCTCTGAAGAAACCCCAACCTCCTGAATCCAGGGCGCCAAGCTTGTCACGTCGCAAGGTGCCAAAGCAATCAATAGTAATTCCAATATCATACAAGTCAATTTCAACCTGTCATGAGCAGCCTCCATTCAATAGCAGGGCGAGCTGATAAATGGGACCCTCAGAAAGCAGATATATAGCGTGGGGGGTGGGGGTGGAGAGAGTCATAAAATAGGGAATCAGGCAGTTGGAGGGGTGGAGAGAAAGGGTGGGATGGCTCTTTGCTCCCCTTCCTCTTTGCAAATGCCTTCACTGCAGAGCCCTTTTCTACCCATCCACAACCTACCCTGCCTGCCGAAATCCCTGGGTGACCATTCCCATAATCCTCAACCAGCATCATCACTGGTCCTGTTGAGAAAGAAGAAATGGGATTCATACTTCAGGGAGGTTGAAAGACCCTTTTGGAGGAAAGTATCCTGTGCCATCCAAGCCCCTCCACCTCTTCGTTCCTCACCCTATGTCCCATTCTCAGTTCTCAGCTGTTCTGTGACACCCAAGAGACTTAATCAGGACTCAGTAAAGGGACAAACACAGACTGTCTTGGGGAAGAGCTCCACCGTTGGTGGATTTTATTTGGGTGGAGGGAAAAGGATGGCTGTGGGCTATATTGATGTTGAAAAAGGAAAAGAAAAAAGGCATCTTTAAAAAATCCCCAAAGGAAATTTCCCAGAGACAACTAGACGTCCTTGTTTTTCTTTGAAGACATTTCGCTTTTCATCCCAGAAGCTTCTTCAGCTCTGACTGGATGGTGGGGTATGGAAGGATTTATATTGCTTGCAGACATTCCTTCCATTCCCCACCATCCAGGCAGAACTGAAGAAGCTCTTTGGATGAGAAGCGAAATGTCTTCAAAGAAAAACCAGAAAGTCCAGTTGCCACTTGGAAAAAGCACCTTTGACCTGGATAGCTGAGAATCTTCATAGGCATTTAGCTATGCATCCTTAAGAGTGGAGAACAAAGGGGAGTATTTGCACATATTAATATTGCACGTATCAATTTTCAGGCTTTGGGTATTCAAAACCTTTATGTTACTTCTTTTAAATCGTAAGGGTGGGAAATACGTACAAGTCGAGGACCTGGTGTGGATCTATGCACTGGGGGAGTCAAACATAGAGAGGAATAAAAATGTTGATTCCAAACAAATCACACACACAGATTTTCCAAGTTTTTACTTGCAATTGCAATTGCCATTCCAGGTAAAAACATTCCCTACATCAGTGGTGGGATTCTACCCGTTTCCCTACCTATTTGGAGATTGCACACTTTGCACATGTGTGTGCGCAGCTTTCCAAACACCAGCTGAGGCTCTGCCGCACCGATCAGCTGAGAGGATAAAGAACAGAAAAGCGCAGGGGCAGGTGGGGGGGCTGATCCTCTGCTTTTCTCGTCTTTCTCTTCTCAGCTGATTGTTGGAGCTTTTTTTTTACTACCAGTTCAGCCGAACTGGACCAAACCAGGAGCATTTTGCCACTGCCCTACATGTAAATTTATCACATCTACTTAAAGAGAAAATGTTTTTTTTTTTAAATGTTTGAACTGCCAGGGCTGCAATGAAAGAAACTTGGACAGTAACAGTCATTCAGGGCTTTTAAAAAGATAATCAGAAAACTGGGTTTTCATCTGAGTCCTATATTTGAATACTTTTATATCACTTCTCCATCCAAGCTCCTTTCCTCTCTTGCTTACATTCCGAGGTGGTATTCAGCCAGTTCTGACCAGTTTTGGAGAACCGGCAGTGGAAATTTTGAGTAGTTCGGAGAGCTGGCAAATACCCCCTCTGACTGGCCCTGCCCCCATCTATTCTCTGCCTCCTGAGTCCCAGCTGATTGGCTGGGTCTTCTTTGGTTGTCCTGCACAGGAGAACGGAGCTGGAAAGCAGGTTAGTGGGGTGGGGAGGGAATGGGGATTTTACATTATCCTTCCCCTGCTACGCCCACCAAGCCACGCCCACCAAGCCACGCCCACAGAACCGGTAGTAAAAAAAATTGAATACCATCCCTGCTTACATTGCAATAGTGAGGGTATATTTCTAGATGTTTTCTAGACTCCTGCTCTCCCTACGAATGTAAATATCATGAATGAGAAACTTCTAGGGAAATAGAGTTTCCCAAGGCTTCTGACTATAAAGGTAGTCCTCGACTTACAACAGTTCATTTAGTGACCGTTTAAAGTTATAACGGCATTGAAAAAAGTGACTGCTGACCGTTTTTCACATTTACCAACCATTGCAGCATCCCCATGGTTACGAGATTAAAAACTCAGATGCTTAGCAACTGACTCATATTTATCATGGTTGCAGAGTCCCAGGGGGTCCTGTGATCATCTTTTGTGACCTTCTGAAAAGCAAAGTCAATGGGGAAGCCAGATTCACTGAACAATTGTGTTATTAACCTAAGAACGTCTATGACTCACTTAACAACTCTGCAAGAAAAGTCGTCAAATGAGCCAAAACTGACTTAACAAATGTCTCACTTAGAAACAGAAAATTTGGGCTCAGTTGTGGTCGTAAGTTGAGGGTTACCTTTATGACCCTAAGTCCTGGAACGCTGTCCATCTAGAATATACTGGTGATAAAGAAGACTATAGCTGAGAATAACAGAGTTGGAAGGGACCTGAGAGATCTTCTAATTTCCTGCTTAAGCAGGAAACTCAGACAAATTTCAGACAAATGATTGTCCAATCTCTTCTCATAAACCTCCAGTTTCGCAGCACCTACAACGTTGGAAGGCAAATCATTCCACTGATTAATTGTTCTGTCAGGAAATTTATCCTTAATTCTAGGTTGCTTCTCTCCTTAATTACTTTCCATCCATTTTTTTTTCTTGTCTTGCCTTCAGGTGCTTTGGAGAATAAGCTGCCCCCCACCCCTCTTCTTTGTGACTCTTATTGTGTCCCCTCTTATTGTTATAGAGCAGGGGTGTCAAACTCGATTTCATTGAGGGCCACATCAGGGTTGTGTTTGGCCCAGCGGGAGCAGGGTGTGTGGCCAGGGGGCATAGCCAGCTCGACATCATTTGTTGAGGCTCCATTTTCAGCCACGATGGCCTCCTGCAGCCCTCTGCCAGGGAAAACGGAGATCCACAAGCTCCACTTGTGCTGGCAGAGGGCTGCAGGAGGCTATCGCAGCCGAAAACTGAGCCCGGAAGGGCCCTGCATGGCCCTCCCAAGCTCCATTTTCACTAGCAGAGGCACCAGGGACTGGTCCCTCACTGTTTCCATGGCTGCCCCGCGGGCTAGATCTGAGCACCCCACATAATATCATATCATAATAATATCATATCATAATCTGATATTAACACAGTTGAGAAAGTCCAGAAATATTTCAAAAGAAGAGTTCTCCACTGCTCTGCTCGTTGTAGAATACCTTATGCCACCAGACTTGAAATTCTAGACCTAGAAAACCTTGAATTACGCCATCTTCAGTCTGATCTAAGTATGGTATATAAAATCATACATTGCAATGACTTACCTGTCAATGAATATTTCAGCTTCAACCATAACAACACAAGAGCACACATTAGATACAAACTCAAGGTTAACCGCACCAAACTTGATTGCAGGAAATACGACTTCAGCAAGAGAGTGGTCAATGTCTGAAATACTCTACCTGACTCTGTGGTTTCTTCCCCAAACCCCAAAAACTTTAACCTTAGACTGTCTACTATTGACCTCACCCCTTTCCTAAGAGGTCTGTAGGGGGCGTGCATAAGTCCACCAATGTGCCTACTGTCCCTGTCCTATTGTTTCTTTTATTTTTCTTATATGTACCCATTTCATGTATTCATAACTATGTATATACTTATACCTATTATCTTGTAAGCGATTGACAAATCAAATCAAATAAATAAATAAAGCCAGATCTGGCCCATGGACCTTGAATTTGACACCCCGTTATAGAGCAGCTAGTGGTGCGATTTGCTGGTTCTCCGAACTGCACAGAATCGTAACAACCGGTTCTATAGAACTGGTCCGAACCGGTAGAATCCCACCCCTGGACAGGAAGCACATGGGGAAAACACCACAAGAGGAAAAGATTTGAAAGGAAGGTACACAGGTAATTCTCGACTTACAACCATTTGTTTAGTGGCCATTTGAAATTACAAAGGCACTGAAAAAAAAATAGTATGCCTATTTTTCACATTGTTGCAACATCCCCATTCAGATCCTTGGCAACTGGCTCATATTTATGACGGTTGCTGTATCCCAGGGTCACGTGATCACTTTTTTGAACCTTCTGACAAGCAAAGTCAATGGAGAAGCCAGATTCACTTAGTAACAGTGATACTTACTTAACAAATGCAGCCGTTTAACAACTGCGGCCAGAAAGATTGTAAAATGGGGCCAAACTCACTTAATAACTGTCTTCTTTAGCAATGAAAATGTTGGGCTCAGTTCGTAAGTCAAGGATTACTTGTATTTGCTTTTTTAAAAAACTCCAAAGAATATGCTACTTGTATCATCACACAGCTAATCATCTGTCAAAGTATATTCATGGAATAGAGCATGGTAACAAGGTCAGCCAATGAACAGGCATAGCAACTAAGTCAGCCAATGAGGACAGTTTTTGGAAACTGAAACTAAAAGTAGCCTAGGCGTGGCTCTATATTAAGCTCTGCAGCTCTGCAGCTTTGTTGAGCTCAGAGTCTGTCTATTGAAAATGAAACTGCTACTCCCCCCTGCTGTGTATAATGCTTGCCTGCTGAACTAAAGTGAAACTGATGCCTGTTTCTGAGCTCCTGAGCTGCTGCTGAAGCTCTGAACTTGTAACACGTCTATTTCTGTCTGAGTTTGCTCCATGTTGGAGAAATCTACAACTGGTTTGTAAAATCTACTTATTATGTTTATAAAGATGTTAAATGAAGCATCAGCCATTTGTGTTTATTTTTCTGGCGCCGAATTAACGCTGCAAAACTCTGAATATCATCACCATTCCCTATTCAGGGGGTAACATCCCCAGAGTCATTCTCCATGGTAAACTCTATGATGTAGAGATACAGATACACGTACAGATTAACCTGGTTGGAAGGGATCTTGCAGATCATCTAGCCCAAGCAGACTCTACACCACTTTTGACACATGGTAGAGAGGGCTTCATTGTATGAGCTCTGCTACACGATTCCCAACGTATTATGATCCTGTGATCTGCAAGCCCCCCCAAGTCACCTTATCGGGGAGATGGGAGGCATGTGTATTTAATAAATAAATAAATATTTAGATATGCCAAACTCTACTCCTTCCTCCACCTTTCTCTGTCTTTCCAAGTGCTTCAGGCCCGCATAATCCGTTTTCCCACTCCTATCTCTGCTGAGATAGAGATAACACAAGCCCTCTATAGGTATATGGATCCACAATGCTAAATGGAGCTTGGAGACCCAGAGGGAAGGGGGAGAAGAGATGAGGGGACAAACTGTGGAGTGGTTTCAAGAGGAGACGCCAAGCTCCTTGTCTAATGGAATCCTCGGCTGTAGTAATTAAGCTGGGCTACTGCTAACCGTAATGTGATGTATATATGCCTTTAACTAATCATTTATTAGACCCGTTGATGGTTTGTCAATATTAATTCATTTATTTAAACAACTCGGAGCTGTAATGAAGATGTTTGCTTTACCGGGACAGGGGGGTTAGGGCATGGAGATGAAGGAGCCTGGAGACTTTTTTGTGTGCTCAGTGGATGTCTGCCAGATGACAAGTCCGATGGGGACTTGGAGGGGGAGCGTGGAAACTTTGCTTTTTTTATTTTGCAAAATTTCTCCCTTGCAGGCTTGACAGATGGACTTTAAAAGGGGGTCCGGGTGGATTAGATCAGAGGTTGCCAATGTACCAGTTATCATGATGGTAAAATGCATTGTTTATGGCTGCATTGCTAAACAGGTAGGATTTGAGGCTGCTCTTAAGAACAACTTAGAACAGCGTTTCTCAACCTTGGCAACTTAAACCGAATGGACTTCAACTCCCAGAATTCCCCAGCCAACATGGCTTGGGAGATTCTGCTGGTGCAGGAAGCTTGCAGCCCCTTTGATCCTGCTGAAGCCATTCTGTTCCAATGATACAGCCTGTGTCCTTAACCCAATTTAAGGTCCTGGTGCTAAGTCTGAATACTCTATACTGAGAGCATTTGCACCAAGACAAATTCCTTGTGCGTCCAATCACACTTGGCAAATAAAGAATTCTATTCTATTCTCTACCTGGAATAGGCAGCTGAGTAGGCCATAAGCCAGAACTCCTGGAGTTTATGGTGGCAAAACCTTGCTCACAAAATACTGGAAAATGAGGAGCATAAGAGAGGAAACTGGACAGTCCTTTGAAACTGAGACAAATAAAATGAAGCATCCACTCCTAATTGTTTTAGTTTTCTGTTATGTCCTGAGGACTCAAGGAGTTCTCACTCAGGTCCACTCACTTGTGTGGGCGTTATTCCCCCATTCCCATTGGTCAGTTCTCCCCAGCAGCCAGCTATAAAAGCAGGCTGCGGGGTCCAACTGGCTGCTGATTGCTGCGAGCCAGTTCCAGGCTTGGCAAGCACGGTCAGCCCTTTATTTGTAAATAAAGTACTGTTGCACTCATGCTCTGGTTCAGCCTCTCATTGCTCAAACTTAACACTGGCGACGAGGATGGGATGGCTACCAGAAGCACCTTGCAACCGCTGAGTCACTAGCCACCGATCTACAGCCCAGAGAGAGCGATCGGCTGGCAACAAGGGAAACGCTGATCCGCAGCCAGAGAGAGCGGTCAGCTAGCGAAACGAGCGATCAAAAAGAGCAAACACAGATCCGCAGCCAGAGAAAGCGGTCTGAGTCAAATAGTTAGAAGCGTCTGTAGCCGCTTGTTAGCCTCGCTACGGGGAAAGTGAAGCGCTGCGAGCCGCAGCCGCTCTGCATTTGGCGCGAAATTCAAACGGGTGTCATTTGAATTTCGAGCCAGTAGGAATCACAGCACAGCGCTGTAGAGAGTCACTAACGCCCACTTTTTTTGGCGCGAATCAAGACACCTCCAACGGCTAGCAGCCAACGTGGTAACCCAGAGAGAGAGAAAGAGAGGGTAGCAAAAAAAACCTCTCCAGAGCTGATATCACTAGTAACTCACGAGCGTTCGTAGTCCCAGAGAGATTTCTCCCGCAGGTAGCCCAGCCGTTCCAGCACCATGAGTTCCAATCCAGTATTCCCGCCGTTTAAACCAGACGAAGAGAAGTGGGAATCGTATAAGAACCGTTTCAATCATTACATCGATGCGGTCGGCCTGTCGGATGCGGGAGAGCATCGGAAAAAATCCTATTTCCTAATCTACTGCGGAGCCACCGTTTACGATACCGCTGCAGCACTCGTGGCGCCGAGAGAATTAAAAAACGTTCCGTGGTCCGAGTTGCTTGAGATCCTCACAAACCACTACGCTCCCAGGCCTTCACAAATCGCCAGGAGGTTCACGTTCCGAATGAGGAAGCAATCTAGTAAGGAGACCATCAACCAATATATGGCCGCCCTCAGAACAGCAGCCCTGCACTGCGGGTTTGGAACATACCTGGAGGACATGCTCCTCGATCAATTGGTTTGTGGGGTCAAGGATCTCAACCTACAGAGGCGACTGCTAGCTAAAAAAGACCTCAACCTCGCGCAAGCGGTAGAGGAGGCCCTAGCAGCCGAGCTAGCTACGAACTCAGCCACCGAAATTCAGGGCCCAAGCGCCAAGCTAGCAGCGTTCCCAGTCCATTCCGAAGAGGTGGAAGCGGAGGAAGGCCACAACGATGAAAACGATGTCCATCGCCTCACCAATGACAGACGGTCGCAGGTAGGGGCCAAACAAGAATACACCGGTCCACCCAAGCACATCACCCTGTGCCTAGCCTGTGGGGGATCACATCAAAGGGCCACCTGCAAGTTTAAAGGAGCCGTTTGCAACAACTGCCATAAGAGGGGGCACATTGCGAGAGTCTGCCAAGCCCCCCAAAGCGCTGCACAAAGACCCCCGTCCTCGCACTCGGGACCACAGAGGCAAGTATTAAACTGTCGCACGCACCGCCTTGCCAGGCGTACTTGCCACTCTGTTAGTAAAATTTCTCTCTCCGTTTCCCTAGAAGGTAAACCGTGCCACATGGAGGTTGACACAGGGTCAGCGCTCTCAATAATCTCGTGGAACACCCTCAAGAGACTCCACCCCAGCCTATCTACTACCCGGCTTCAGAGATGCCAGTTCGGTCTGAAGGACTACCAGGGGAAGGCCATTCCCATGATCGGCAGAGGCAAGTTCTTTGTCAGTTTTAGAGCTTTTAAAGGCCACCTACCTCTAGTGGTAGTTAACGGCAATCTACCCACCTTATTGGGGCTCGATTGGTTTCCCCACCTCGGCCTAGGGTTAACAGGAGTCCATGCTGTCTCAACCTCAGACACTGACTCCTTATTCGCTGACTACGCAGATGTGTTCAGCGAGGAGCTGGGGTGTTATAATGGAACCCCCATCTCGTTCACCGTTGACCCCCAGGCAGTCCCAATCAGATTAAAACCACGGAGAGTTCCATTTGCTATTTGACCAAAACTAGACGCTGAATTGGATAAACTACTAAAACAAGGGGTCATTGAGCCAACAGATTTCGCCAAGTGGGAGACGCCCATTGTCACACCCCTCAAAAAAGATGGTAGCCTGAGAATTTGCTCGGACTACAAGACAACAATCAATAAATATTTACAAGTTAGCGCCTATCCCGTGCCCGTCATTCAGCACTTATTGCACACATTCGAACCGGGCAGTATTTTTGCTAAATTGGACATGTCTCAAGCATATCAACAGTTCCCTGTTGATAACCAAACAGCAGAACTTCAGACCATCGTCACTCACAGGGGTGCCTTCCGATGCAAGCGTCTCCAATTTGGCGTAAGTGTTGCCCCGGGTATTTTTCAATCCCTCATGGAGCGGATTTTACAGGGCCTCCCTGGTGTAGTACCCTACTTCGACGACATCTTGGTCTCGGCCAGGGACAGACCCCAACTCTTCCAGAGAGTGCGAGCAGTGTTAGAGAGGTTCAGACAGCATGGCCTCAAGTTAAAAAAAGAAAAATGCGCCATTGCCACTAGACAGGTGGACTTTCTGGGTTATAAAATTGACGCCTCTGGCATTCACCCCCTGGAGTCCAAGGTCAGGGCGATCCACGAAGCTCCCACACCGACCTCCAAAACGGAGCTACAAGCTTTCTTGGGACTCCTAAACTTTTATGCATCCTTTTTGCCCCATAAAGCCTCAGTAGCCGAACCCCTACACAGATTACTTGACAAAAAGTCACCGTGGCACTGGGGGCACAAAGAAGACCAGGCGTTTAACGCCGTCAAATCACTACTTACGTCAGAGGCAGTGCTCATCCAGTTCGACCCCAACCTTCCTTTAGTACTGGCAGCAGACGCATCCCCTTTTGGAATTGGGGCGGTCCTTAGTCACCGACTCGCCAATGGCGCCGAGGCCCCCATCGCCTTTTTCTCCAGGACGCTCTCGGCCACGGAGCGAAATTACAGCCAAATAGACAAGGAAGCCCTAGCAGCTGTTGCAGCCGTGAAAAAGTTTCACAAATTCCTTTTTGGCCACTTCTTCGAACTGGTCACCGACCATAAGCCCCTCCTGGGCCTACTGGCCGGCGACAAACAGACACCTCAAGTCCTCTCCCCTCGGATGACAAGGTGGACGCTTTTCCTAGCGGCCTACTCATACAAACTTATCCACCGCCCGGGCAAAACTCTATCCCACGCTGACGCACTCAGTCGCTGCCCCTTACCCGCTCCGGCTGAAGACCCAGCTCCTGTCAATGCCATTTTTGAAATCACCCAGTTGGACCTGCCCATCACCGCCCTTGACATCGCCACCAAAACCAAGGCAGACCAAACGCTCGCCCAGGTGCTCGACTGGGTGAGGAGGGGGTGGCCGGGAGGCAATGTTGATAACAAATTCGCACCCTTTAAGACTCGCATGCAGGAGCTGTCCAGTTTGCAGGGTTGTCTACTGTGGGGCACTCGAGTGATCATTCCGACCTCGCTGCGTACCCGAGTCCTGGAGGCGTTGCACGAGGGACACCCCGGCATTGTGAGAATGAAGGCGTTGGCACGCAGCTACGTGTGGTGGCCGGGTCTAGACGAGGACATTGTCAATTGGGTAAGTTCCTGCAGCATTTGCCAGGAATCCCGTCCTGCTCCCCCCATCGCCACCCCTACCAGATGGGAGAGCGCCAGCGCCCCTTGGTCTAGAATCCATATCGATCTGGCCGGCCCCGTGCATGGAAAGATGTTCCTAGTGGTCGTGGACGCTTATTCCAAGTGGATAGACGTGGTGCAGCTATCCACGACCACCACACTAGCAATCACCAACGTGTTAACGCGCCTGTTCGTTACCCATGGACTACCCGACTCCTTGGTCTCCGATAATGGCCCACAGTTCGCATCAGTAGAATTCAGCCGTTTTGCAGCCAACCTAGGCATTCGCCACATTTTCACAGCCCCATTTCACCCTGCGAGTAATGGGTTGGCTGAAAGGGCCGTCAGGACCACCAAAGAGGCCCTCGCTAGGTTTGGCAGAGATGACTGGCACCACAAACTCTCACGGTTCCTGATGAGCCAGCACTCAACCCCCTGTGCAGTCACCAATAAGTCCCCAGCGGAACTTCTGATGGGCCGGCGCCTGAGGACTGTATTAGATAGACTGCACCCACAATACTGCCCTGACTCTCCCCTCGCTTCCACTTCGGGGGTTAGACATTTTATGTTACAGGAGCCGATATTCGCAAGGAATTTCGCTGGGGACCCACTTTGGATTCCGGGCGAGGTCATCGCCGTCACCGGGCCGAGATCATATAGAGTCAGGCTGGAGGATGGTCGCGTCTGGAGGAGACACATAGACCAACTCAGAAGGCGCCTTAGCAACCTCGCAAACAAGAATCCAGAGTCTCCAGTCGAAGGGGAACTGTCCCATCCGCCACCCAGCCACATCGCACCCAGTGACCAGTCTGCGCCAGCGGTCGTTCCGGTCAGCCCAAACCCGGACAACAGCGCCCAGAGAGTTGATCAACCGGATCCAACCCACGAGAGTTTGACTCCAGAAACCAACCCGGTGGTTTCCGAGGATGCCCAGTCCAGAGAGAGTGTTGGCGACACTATGCCGGCTCAACCGTCACAGACTAATACCGAACAGTCAGACAATGTTCCCGAGTTGCGCCGCTCCGGGCGCCAACACAAACCCCCCATCTACCTCAAGGACTATGCGTGTTCGCATCTGGGGGGAAGGGGTGTTATGTCCTGAGGACTCAAGGAGTTCTCACTCAGGTCCACTCACTTGTGTGGGCGTTATTCCCCCATTCCCATTGGTCAGTTCTCCCCAGCAGCCAGCTATAAAAGCAGGCTGCGGGGTCCAACTGGCTGCTGATTGCTGCGAGCCAGTTCCAGGCTTGGCAAGCACGGTCAGCCCTTTATTTGTAAATAAAGTACTGTTGCACTCATGCTCTGGTTCAGCCTCTCATTGCTCAAACTTAACATTTTCTATTTGCCCAGTCAATTGTTTGAAATGGGCAGCTATACAAATTGAATAAATAAACAAATAAATATCTAGTAACATTGTGGCATAATCCATTGTGAGAGTCAGCCACCAAAGAAAACCATTGTTTTAATTTCATCTCCTTATCTATAACAAAAGCATCCCCTGACTTCAATGTGTGGGATCTGTCAGGTAAGTAACCAAAAACAGGAGTTGATTTCAGAGACTAAAAGGTTTCTTGCATGCTTCCTATACACACAAATCTGATCAACTAACAGTCAAGGCAAATTGGGGCCATATAAGAGTCAGTGGAATTAACAGGAGGGCTGCGCTTAGCTCTCTTGTGCCTATGTAAGGATTCCAAACTGATGGTGCATTTGACCCTGCCCACAGGCTCAGCCTAGGCATCTCTGACAGGGCCAGGAAATCTAAAGAAAAACTTTCACTAAGGGTGTGTAAAATGTTCTAGGCTTGAAACAGCCATTTTGTGTGTCCAGGAAATCCTTGCTAAATGATGACAACTGGGACCAACAACTCCATTGCTAAGCGATATGATTATAAAGAATGATATCAAGTTGTCCTGTGTGCCCTTGATATTTATGCAGTAATGATAAATAATGATAAAATGAGGCTAGTATGAATGTCTCTATAGTATAAGCACTGGCAAAGAATCCAGGCCGTAGATTATGTTGCAGCTTGGCAGATTTATTGCTCCAGCCTATGCATAAGAATCTAGTCTACTAACTGTTCAACACTAAATTGGCACTAGATAAGGGTCAGTTGAATTCAAGAGAGGTTGGACAGACCATTTGTGGAAAATAACAACTCGCTTGAGTTCATCCCACCTCAATTCTGTCCGCTCATCTCCTACATCACATATCCAAGGTATTGTCTCTATGAGTAGGGGTCTGTCTCTATTGGCCTTCAAGGACAACCGAGGGGAGGATGTGACAACTCAAAACATTCAAAGAGAGTATTTTGAATGGGATTATTTTGTTCTAACAGTAACCAAAATTATTTCTGTTTCATTCATACTCCTTACCGGTACTGACTATATTTAAGATTGGACACCCTACTTGTTGATTCATTGGTGAAAGCTGTTAGGTTGGTAAGCATCAGCAATAATGGCCTTACCAATAAAAGAAAATATCTTTAGCTGAGAGTTACACTGTGGGGGAATATGGGCAATGAGGGGTCCTTGGTGTTCTCTGAGCTTGGTGCTTTTTTGCAGACATTTCATTACCCAGCTAGGTAACATCTTCAGTACTTGTAATGTCCTGGCCACTGATGATTTAACCTACTTGGATAATGAAACATGTGCAAGAAAGTAACCAAACTAGAGAGCAGGAAGTATCTCACAATTATGGCTTTTTCTTAATGACTGGCGTTTCCCCTATCCTCCACCTCTTCTGCTCGTTGAAATAATAATATTCTATACCATTATGTTAATCTGAGACATTCCAAAGAATTTAAAATGGTAACCAAAACATTCAGCAGGTTCTGACCAGTTCTGGAGAATCGGTAGCGGAAATTTTGAGTAGTTTGGAGAACCAGAGGTAACCTTCTCCCCGGAGTGGGGTGGGAATGGAGATTTCACAGTATCCTTCCCCTACCACGCCCACCAAGCTACTCCCACAGAACCGGTAGTAAAAAAATTTTGAATCCCACCACTGGAGAACACATACACACACACTTACTTCCTTTCCTAAAACAACATGAGAATTGGAGGCAATTTTGCCTTTTTTCTTTTAACCAAGAGTCTCTTTGCAATTCAAGCCAAGCTAGCTTCTGAAATTTTAGCCAGCTGTTCTAGAAAAACCCAGCTTTGGTCAATCTAAAATCCCAATTCTTATACTGTAGTCTAGAAATTTCTGTTGAATTATCTCCTAACCAGAAAGATATAACTAGTTCACTAATAAATAGCTACAATTAGGGCCAGGATACTAAACACAGTCAGAAGACACTACCCATCACTACAAGAAGTCTATGTATTGACTCCAGAGCTAATATCTCCACAGGTAAAAGGAAAACAATGGACAATTCTCAAGCTTTTAAAAATAGCTCCGTATTTATGCCATACAGCAACTTGATGTGATGAGAATGGAGTTTAAATAATATTGCAAAGGTTTGGCAGGAAGGACACAAATAATTTTTGCTTGTTCATTTCTCTGCACAGGCAGCACAAGTTTTTATTTGGAACAGGGAAAACAGGGACAGGGGAGTACATGTTCTTAATAAATATGTAAATAAAAATAATTTTGTAGTAATGTGATAAGTTGCCCAACTTCAGGGAATAACTCCGAGCACCTACCAATGCAAACCAATTGCATACAACAAAGCATAATTAAATACAAACAAAATAAATAACATTTATTTAGGCAACTCACACCTAATTTATATCCAAAATGTACACATCGTGTTTAAACAAAAGCAAGAGAACACTGAATACTTTCAGAATTTATTATTTATTCCTTAGGCCCAATGCATTACAGGTAGGCCTCAACATATGACCACATTTGGGATCAGAATTTCCCAACCACTAAGCAAAGCAGTTGTTAAGTGAGTCGTGCTCAGTTTTACCTTCTTTGCCACAGCTGTTAAAGCGAATCACTGCAGTTATTAAGTAAACCGTGCAATTGTTAAGCGAATCCAACTTTCCCCGTTAACTTTGCTTGTCAGAGCCGGCTGGGAAGGTCGCAAATAGTGATCACATGACCCTGGGACTCTGAACCTGTCATAAATACGTGCTGGTTGCCTAGTGCCTGAATTTTGATCATGTGACTGTGGGGATGACAGTAGTAAGTGGAAGGACTGGCTGTAAGTCACCTTTTTCAGTGCCATTGTAGCCTCAATCCTAAACAAATGGTGAGGACTACTGGACAAGGATCTCTCCTGGGCTCTCAGCAGAAGGAAAAATAATAACAAAAAAGCCCACAAAGCCAGGACAAGTGGTTGTATTTAATTTTCTTTACTACTGGTTCTGCAGGCATGGCTTGGTGGGCGTGGCAGGGGAAGGTCACTGCAAATTCCCCATTCCTTCTGCACCCCACTAACCTGCTTTCCAGCTCCATTCTCCTGTGCAGGGCAACCAAAGAAGACCAACTGGGACTCGGGAGGCAGAGAATAAATGGGGGCGGGGCCAGTTAGAGGTGGTATTGGCCGGTTCTCCGAACTAATCAAATTTTCCACTACCGGTCCTCCAGAACTGGCCAGAACCTGCTGAATACCCACCTCTGGCCAGGACATATTCCCCAAATCCCTCAGAGGCTCGCTCTCTTCCCATCCTAGCAGAGAAGCACTGAGGTGCTCTGTCAGACAGTTCATTCTGCTTGGTTCATTCGCAGTCCGTTCCAGCCATTGAGATGTCACGAAGCTGTGATATTTCTGCGGAATGTCTATTACTCCAGGTTTATGGAGCATGTCAGGCCTTGCAGTGACCCTCTTGGAACATGAAGGCAAGTCTATCAAGTCAATGGGTCATGAACAGGGAGGTCTCTATGCGGATAGCAAGTCCTCTGTGCATTTAAAGCCACTGTATGGAGCTGGTTCGGCAATGGCTCGTTTTGTGGAAAGCCTTGCCTTCACAGCAGTTCCCAGTTAAAGCAGTGGTTCAGCCTGGTTCTGCTGAGTCGGTAGCAGTGATCAGCAGCAGAGATCAAGCCAGTTCTCTCTGCCGCTCTGCTGTTGGGCCCATCCACCCGCCTGGGCTCCCATACTCACCTTTGTCCTCTGCTTTTGAAGCGCAGCTGCTTTGCACAGCCCAGCAGAGTAGTTTGTCGTGTACCGCTGAATCAAAGGCTTTACAGAAGTCTATGTAGATTGCGACTATTGCTTTGCCCTGATCGAGTTGTGTAGTCCATACGTTTTTGCAGTGTAAGAGTTGCAGATTACAGAATAGTTTTTTTCTGAAACCAAATTGTTTATTGGAAAGTAGGTTGTTTGTCTCTAAGTGGAGGATGATGGATGCTGTGCAGCAGCTGCTGAAGCGACCGGGAGAGTGCAGGCTTGCAGGAAGTGAGTTAGAATGCCTCTGTGCCTGCGCAAAGTGCATGTTTGGCACACACGCGCAGGCAAACTGTATGCATGCGCGCAAAGTGCACTCACCAAACCACACCCACCAAACTGGTGGTAAAACTTTTTGAATCCCACCACTGAGTAAAAGGTCTCTTTCACAGAGGTTGCTCACTTTTTTATTTTTTTAATTAAGAAAATCTGTATGGCCACACAATTCACTCACTCTGACTCCAGGAGGCTTACGGAAGTAAAACCTCAAATACAAAACTCGATAAACTCTCACCACCTCCGCTTCCAGCAACAACAATCAAACAAACTATTTCACCTTGGGGCTCCATATTACCCTGGCATCCTCAGAGCTGCTGCCAAAAACCAGGTCTTCAGAGCCTTTCAAAAGAGTATCAAGGTTAAGGCTATTTATCTCTGCAGGGAAGCTGTTCCACAGGGAGGGAGTTACCACAGAGAAGGCCCTTCTTCTTGGTCCCACTAGAGCTCCTTAAGAGGGGTTGTCAAGGCTTCGACTAATGAACCCAAGCAAATCAGAACCCTGAGACTTGGCTCCTTCTTAAAGGTCTTCTTTAATGAGTACATCATATAAGTACAGCTTCAATGGAGAGCCAAATCTAAATCTTTCCCATGGTTACAGTATAATAAAACTATGAAATAACTCCATTCCCAAGTGTCACAGATCACATTGGCCAATTGGGTTATTTTAAGGGTTCTTCAGGCATTCCTTCTCCAACCTTATCGGTTGCCAGTCAAGATGACCTTGGTTCTTAAGAGAAAGCTCTTTGTTGTGTCTAGTAATACATTCCAACCTGCTTCCCCCTCTGTGTGGCAACTGAGGAACAGAAAGATGGTTGCTGCCAGGTTCGGTTTGAAGTTGACACCTGCCTCTCCACTAAGGTGGGTTGGGTTGATGCAATTGGGAAAAAGAAGGCCCTTCAAATAATCTAGCTTTACATCATGTAAATGAAGATGTGGTGGCCTAGCAGTTAAGATGCTGGGCTTGTCAACCAGAAGGTTGGCAGTTCAAGGCCCAAGTACTGCATGTCAGGGTGAGCTCCTCCCCCAGATCTTGCCAACCTAGAGGTTCAACAGCAGGCAAATGCAAGTAGATAAATAGGTACCTCTTTGGTGGGAAGGTAACAGAGTTCGGTGTGCCTTGGTGTATAGTCATTCTGGCCATGTGATCGTGGAAGTGTCCTCAGACAACACTGGTTTTCTCAATTACAAAATAGAGATGAGCACCACTCCCTAGAGTTGGATAAATCCTGAAGAGGGGAAACCTTTATTGTTACTTTTTAAGCCGTGTAAGGCTTTCAAGGTAACAACTAGTACCTTGAATTGGACCTAGAAGCAAATTGGCAATCATTGCAACTCCTACAAGAAAGGTGACCCATGTGCAAATCTGGAATTGCACAAAGCCATGCAGACCACTACATGGTTTGAACTAATTGAATCTTTCAGCTACTTTTCAAGGGCAGCCCCATGGAGAGCGCATTGCAGTAGTCAAGACAGGAAGTGATTAAGGTCTGGTTGACTGTGAGCAGGGCTTGTTGTTCCAGGAAAGGGCGTAACTGATGCATGATCCACTCGTATTGTTTTAAAGATTTTTCCCAGGAAGATCAATAAAAGGTACTAGATATAGAACATGATTGTGTCTAAACCAGACTAAAAGTCAGCAAAGACATTTGCATTCAGCTTTTGATGTCAAAGCTTGGCTTCACCCTCCAGATATTTTGGATCCGGCTGGTTAATTTAAAGGGCAATCCTGTGTGTCATTAAACCCATTTGGACCTAATGAAATGCCTCTCGGAGGAGGTCAACTAGCTAGATTTGCCCAGCCTGCTTAATTCCATTATCAAATTAATTCATTTGCTGGACTCATACAGTGTTTTAAGTCATAAATTAATCAGAAGGGCTGGGTTTCACAAACGTAAGTTACAACAGCCAAAAAAAAAAAGTAAACGATGATTAAAACTAATTTAGTTTAGCATGTTGTAGCAATGCAGAAGCTAAGATGTTCAGTTGATCTCAGGGACTTCTGTGAACTTAGCCATTAGATGCATAATTAATGCAGCAGAGCTCTTGCACACATCGCCTATTAGTCGCTATCCGCATTGGCATGTCCGGCTTACTTGTGGTTAACCTAACAGTGATTTGTTCTCAACCCAAAGAATTTATGAAGAAATATACAGGTAGTCCTCGATTTACGACCACAACTGAGCCCAAAATTCCTGTTGTTGAGTGAGACATTTGTTAAGTGGATTTTGCTCCATTTTACGAACTTTCTTGCCAAAGTTGTTAAGTGAATCGCTGCAGTTGATAAGTTACTAATCCAGTTGTTAAGTGAATCTGGCTTCTCCATTGACTTTGCTTGTCAGAATGACGCGAAGGGTAATCACATGACCCTGGGACGCCACAGTGGTCATAAACATGGACCAGTTGCCAAGCATCTGAATTTTGATAACATGATTGTGGGAATGCTGCAAAGGTTGTAACTCTGAAAAACGATCTTAAGTCATTTTTTTTAGTACCATTGGAACTTTGAACAGTCATTAAATGAACTGTTATAAGTCCAGGACTACCTGCATTCCAATTGGAAGCAGAAAAAACATTATAACAATAAGAACTGTTCAACTATAGAATTGATTACCTTAAGAACCATTGATTATCTTAACTACCTTAAGACTACCTTAAGAACTCACCTTCCGTGAAGATATTTCAACAAAGATGGGCTGCTCAGCTGTCAGGTCTGCTATAGGGTTTCTCCACTGGCAGGGGGTTGAACTAGATGATCCCTAAGGTCTCCTTACATTCTATGATTTAATCATTCATTTGCTGGTGCCGTATAGAAAACTAATTAAACACCAGGCAGGAAGGCATACAACACGTTAAACTGAAATGTGGTAGGCGGTTGAATGTGTTATATAAATCCAACTGGTCTTTGGAATAGACACCATAAAACTCAGTATACCTGATCAGGGTTTCCTTGGCTAGATAGCAGTAGGATCGGAGTTAGACAATAAACTTTCTTGACATTACGGATAAAATTTTGGAATTGGTATGGAAATTTGGAATTAGCTTTGTTTACAGAGGTGCCTTAGCAAGCTTTTGCAAATACAGTACAAGTACTTAACTAAGGACCATAACTGGGACCAGATTTTCCATTGCTCAGTGAGTGGTTGTTAAGTGAGTTAAGTTCCTGATTTTACAACCATTTTGTCATGCAGTTGTTAAGTGAATCATGCAGCTGTTAAGCAAATCCAGCTTCCTATATTGACTTGGTTGTCAGACGCAAGTTGGGAAGTCATGAATGGAGATCATGTGACTTTGGGCCGCTGCAACCATTGTAAATAGCGATTATGCCAGTTACCAAGCACCTGAGTTTTGATCACATGATGCTGCAGTGGTTGTAAGTGTGAGGACCAGTCATCAGTCAATTTTTTCAGTGCCATTCAGTGGCAGTATTCTAGCGGTTCGGCCCGGTTCTCCTGAGCCGGTAGCAACAATGATCAGCGGAGACCTAACTGGTTCTCTCCACTGCTCTGCTGTTGGGCCAACCCGCCCACCTGGGCTCCCATACTCATACTTTATCCTCTGAAATTGAAGCACAGCTGCTTTGCGCGGCACAGAAGAGTGCTGCGTGGCAGCTGCTGAAGCGACCAGAATCGTGCAGGCTTGCAGGAGATGAGTTAGAATGCCTCTGCACCTGTGCATTTGGTGTGCAGGCACACACAAAGTGAGCCCACCAAGCCCCACCCACCAAACCAGTGGTAAAAATATTTGAATCCCACCACTGATGCCATTGTAACTTCAAACTGTTGTAAATGAAAAGTTGAAAGTCAAGGACTATCTGTAAACCACTTTGAACATAGAGCTAGCTGAATATTGTTGCAAATTGGCAGGCTCTCCATTTTCACAGTCTCTGTTGTTTTTAAAGCATGGGATAAATCTATAAACTATTATTAATATAGATTGTCCTTGCCTTACGACTACAATGGAGCCCAACATTTCCATTGTTAAACGAGACAGTTGTGATTCCCCCCCCCCACATTTTACAACATTTCTTGCCACAGTCATTAAGTGAATCACTGCAGCTGTTAGTAACACAGCTGTTACATGAATCTGGCTTCCCCATTGACTTTGCTTGTGTCAGAAGGTTGTAAAATGTTGACCGTATGACCCTTGGACACTGCAACCGTCATAAATATGAGTCAGCTGACCACTTCCAACATCTGAATTTTGATCGCGTGACCATGGGGGGATGCTGCAACCGTCATTAAGTGTGAAACACTGATCATAAGTCGCTTTTTTTCATTGTAACTTTGAACAGCCACTGAATGAACTATTACTGTAAGTCGAGGACTACCTGTATATAAACCAGTAATAAAAATGCAATGTGGACAGCAACCAACCTAATCGTAACGGGCACTCCCAGATCCGCAGCGTCCTCCTTAGAAGGCAGTGGCCAGTCTTCCCAATGGCCTCTTCTTTCTTTCTTGGCTCTTGTTCCTCCACTCAACTCCACTCCAGTCATGCAAGCCGCACAGCCAGCCTGCACACTGAAGCGTCCCTAGCTTTAATTAAACCCATTTTAACATTGATTTCATTAGACTGGTGCTTTAACTACATCGCCGTCAGAATGATTTAAACATCACGCGTGCCAGTGATAAGTTGCAGAGAGGGTGTCACTGGGATGGCGCCTGTCCAAAGCTCCTTTGTGGTTCAAGGTTCCCCGGGGGGGAAAAAGCCAACCCTGTTAGTAAGTGTTCCTCTATTGCTCTCTGTGGTAAAAGG